GGGGGGGGGGGGGGGGGGGGGGGGGGGGGGGGGGGGGAGGCAAGAACATTAGGTTTTTTCACAGTTCTGCTCGTGAAACCAAATTTGGTTTCTGTTGAAGATCAGTGAAATTAGCTCGAAAACCAATGAGGTCTGGATTTTGCACCATTTTAAGACCTTGGGCTAAGTTCCTAGTCCAGTTGTTCGCAAATGCGTAAACGAACACACACACACACACACACAAATTCATGTACAGACAAAAAGACATTTTTTCGTACTCGCACTTTTTTGGGCAAAAAAAACACAAATCTGACGTTTTTTTTACGTGGTAGATATGTTTTTTTTCTTATTCCCTAACCATTTTCAGTAAAGTATTTTGCTTCGATATTTAGTACAAATTAAAGATTGGTTGTATCGCAACACTTCATCCTTATAGATTTTTACATGAGCATTGCTCTTTAGCGAAGTCAGACATTTTATGATGTGCGGGAGCAGAAGGCCATCGATAGAGGCGAGCAGATATGGGTAATTAGGGGCTGATCAGTGATTTAGTACAATGTTGAAACAACCTCTGAGGGTGGAAACAACTTCTTTGTCGCTACTGTTATAAAGATAATGGTAAAAATGACTTTGGCTCGGGGTTATCGACAGGGTGTTTCCGTCGGCATCTCCACTACACCAAGTCCCTATAAACCTTAACGTATTAACCCATTACACTGCATTTTCCTTTGTACTCCACGCTCAGCAGCTAGGATCTATCAATCTGGTATGTATGACATCCCGGCCTTTTCACTCCCTTTTCCCCTCCCCCCATCGGCAGTGTTTTGGCCTTTTCCTGTATACAGGCTGGGATGGTAATGTTGCATCACCGGGCCGCGTGAACCTTCAGCATGCATGATTATCAATTTTTATTCGTTTTGCACGTATGCAAATGCAAAAACGCATATTGTGATGGAATTGTATAATGTTTGGCAGTTGCCATAAACAGCACACACTTTCCCAATTTGCCTCGCTATATCGCAGTTATCTACGGTGTGACTTACACTCAGTGAAACATTCTTCTGTATTCCCATTGTTCTTTTCAGGTTGGACTCCACTACACGCAGCAGCCTGTTGCGGCAATGTTGACTTGGTGGAGTATCTGTGTGCTGAAGGTGCCGATATCTCGGTGACTAATAGCGACAAAGAATTGGCCGTTGATTTAGCGGAAGAAGATGATTGTCGTTTAGTTCTGGAGGAGGAACATCAGCGACAAGGCATCGACCCGGATGAATGCCGCAACAGGTTATCTACCTGCTCTTTACTTTATAATAAGATGCTTTTATCATTTTTTATTGTGAGAATTTGTATTATTTTGCAGATCCCTACAAATCTACGAATCCCTAAATATCACTGTTTCATTTTAGTGTTCATTTAACATTGCTTGAGTACCATTCAGTAATCCGCTTTGTCTGTCTGTCGTCTCTCATTCTTGCTACATAATTAGACAAATTTTTTCTGTTATGATGAGCATCAGTTACTCGTTTACGGTGATTCATGATTGCGACACCTCATCAGCACAATGTTCAGATCATATGTTACCTTACAGAGGAGAAGTTTTCAATGTTTTTTAGAGGGGTTATTCAAAGCAGTAGCGAGGATATGAATTCGTTTACAGGAGTAGCCTTCCCCTTGAATTGTAATTATGTGCTATTAAATCGGTGATTTCCCCTCCCCTCCCCTCCCCTTCCCCGTCTTCCGCCGTCGCCCCCTCTTCCCTCTCACTCTTCATCTTATGGAAATTAGGCATGGGAATTATTATAAATAACCAAATTTCACTGCTATATGATTTCCAGGGAACTAGCGATGATGAAGCGTGATGCAGAACAATGGCTAAAAGATGGTCAAATCCAAGATCGCCCACATGCTCGTACTGGCGCAACCGCTCTTCACGTTGCCGCCGCTAAAGGGTTCATGTTTAGCCTTAAAATGCATAATAATTTGTTCATCTTTAAATCGCCTGGTTGATCTGTTTTTCACCGTTTCAAATTTAAAATGGAAGGGCACATCTGCTGTTGGTTTCAGAAAACCAAGATATTTGCCTTCCATAGGAGTAACGGGGGGGGGAGAGGAGGGGAAGGAGGGGAGGGGTAGAAACGGTCGACAATAGCTCAGATGTCAGCAGGATGCTAGAAACACCACTTGCTGACAGATCTGTCGATGATTTTTTCCCTTCAAAGTTGTTTTGTAGCAAATTAGTGGAGTTTTTTGCACCTTTTCTTCCATCAATACTAAAAGTTTGTCATCGAAACGAATGAACGAATTGCAAGGAAGTTGGCTGTTAAGCTAGAAAGATGTAACCGTTGTATATTTTTCACTGAGAATTAGTAGAATAGAGGGATTGGACAGAGTGTCATGTGTAAGAAGACATTTTACGATGCAGTATCCATGTTTCATCCCTTAGCTGTAAACACAAACTGAAGCCTCTCAGTACCGAAACTTAAAGGCTTCCCTCTTTTTTTGGAAGATTTATGTCTGTATTACATCTTAATGTAGTCGTGTTTTATTCATTGCATTGAAATAGTGGGCCAGGGGAATGGAAAGGGTTATTTCAGGTACGTTGATGTGCTGAGGTTACTGCTTCGTGCC